TGTTAGTACTCTGCCGTCACCAGGAGGGTGAGAAAAGATGTTGGTACTCTGCCATCACTAAGTGGGTGAGAAAGGATGTCAGTACTCTACTGCACCGGGTTGGTGGAAGAGAGGTTATTGTAACGATTTATCTGCCTTGTTCTGGGAGCATAATGAGAGTCACTTTGATTTAGTGCAATACTTGAAGAAGGAGTCTTCAGGGAGTGGATGTAGGTATAGTTGGACTGAACCACTATAAAATTTGGTGCTCATCTGTTCTTTACTTTTTATTGCATTTTTTATTTTCTGTACTTTTATTTTTTTGTAGTTGAAAAATCTTTTGTGAGAATCTATTATCGTGCCAAATATATTAAATCAATTTTCTAAATTTCCAAGAGAATTTTTAAATTACCAATTCACTCCCTCTTAGTTAACATTGGGATAGTTCTGTTAGCTCTAACAACCTACTCTTGATATTGTTCTTATAGAATACTACATAATGTGGTAATGGCATCGATCTATGGTTGCTGGGGGTAGCAATGATTGCTGGTCTACAGTAGCAAGGATTTGTTGAGATGATTTTTATTAAAAAAAAACATCTCAAGTTATTTAAGCATCGTTTAAATAATTATATTTATTTTCAAAAATAAAAAATTTTTAAAAATATAAACCAAATACATCTTTTGAAAAACAAAATAAAAATGATCCCAAAGAGCCTCTTAGGGCTTGTTTTGAGCATCAAATGACATTTAATTTGCTAAAAATTTCTTCATGTGGAAAAAAAAAAAAAAAAAAAAAAAACTAAATTTTATGTTGCCTACACAAGTTTTGTGCCGTAGGGCAAATAATTTAAAGATTGAAATTGTATTATTTTCTCCATAATACTGCACTTTTAATTGTGGAGGAAACTGCAAAATTTATATATGTATTAAGAAATGAGAGAGAGAGAGAGAGAGAGAGAGAGAGAGAGAGATCACAAATCTTCTTTTGAGTTCTCCTTGCATGATCAAATGATAGCCGCTTCTCATGCCTTAACGTGGATTCGCTCATATGAAGTGTTCATGTGAGGGACTGTCGACCCAAACTCACACCACATATTTTAATATACAAGATGAGAATAAATTGAATTTCTCATCCTTTCCAACGCCATCTCTCTCACATCGTCGATCCATACCTGCAATCCGAAGGAAAGATAACTTCCATTGCTAGGTTTGATTAAGAGCATCTCCAATGGAACGACAAATAAATGTTTGCCTTTTTACGTCGCTCCAACAGAATGGCAATTCTTACGCCATTTCATCGCGGATGAACAGTGCGACGCCAATATTGGCATTGCACTGTTTATCTTCGTCATTTTTTTGGTCTCTACCAAACTTGCCGAAGAAACGAGCGAAAGAAGAAAATGACCGTTACGTGGCAAAATGAAGTTCGATTGGAGATGAATCACTGCATTTTTTAATTTCACGATATTTTGGAGTGAGAAAAGAGATTTTCGATTGGAGATGCCCTAAGAGTTTTGAACATGAGATTATAACTTGGATTCAAAATAAAAGTTCGAACTAGATCTATAATATGGGGTTTAAAATAAATGTTAGAATTCTAGGTCCAAAATAGAGGTTTGAACCAAGTTCGATTCAAAATATAATGTTCAAATTCGTGCCTGAACTTAGTTAAATCCTATTATTAGTTGGTTCATACATTATTTGTAATCCTTTAAAAGCATTAAGCTCATTTTTATGTATTGATTTATTTTTATTTCATTTACTTTATCATGATTACAAATGTCAAAGTTTATTATTCAAATAGATAGGTGGTACATTTCTTGGGTCATATATAGGATTAAGGTTTCATTTGGGATGACTTTCTTACTGCTTTTTAAAGCAGTTTTTTAGTACAAATTAAAATTTTTGTGCTAGAAAAGAAAATTACTTTAAAAAGCAGAAAGAAAACTGTCTCAAATAAAATCTAAACGTACAATAATGAATATGATAAAACTATTTGAATTCTAGACTACTAAAGAATACCCTTCAAAGCAACTTGTCATTGTTAGCCTTGATTAATCAATTACTTATATGGAAGTTTAATGGCATTGAAGGTTACTATTTTTTATGTAACATTAGTGATAAGAATGTAAGTTTTGATCTCTTTAAATTTGCACAAAAATCAAGATTAAGCTTTAGAGAATCTTCCACTGATGATAAGTTTAATGAGATGAAAAAGAACACAAAACTAATCAATAATTAGTTAAATGATGAACACACCTTCATTATTTTAGAATTTGAGAATGTTTTCATGGAGGTTAGGATTATAATTTGTTGTTGATGGGGTGTTATTGAAATGTGAGAAGAGCTTCATCAATTTTACAGAGATGTTGTGGTAAAAAAAGGAGAAATTTTTTACTACTTTGGAAAAATATTATGTAAGAAAATAATAAAAGTTTTAACAAGGGCATGTTACATTTTAGGGTATTTTATTTTTAAATGGTGAGAAAATAATGAAAAGTGATATGTCGTCAAAAAAATTATCTTGATCGAGCACGAGTCTCGACGCAAATTAGCATTAAAAACTTCTGAAATTAAATCCGGAGCCATACTAACTCCGATTTCAGCAAGCTTATAATCGATCTGAACATCACGGAAAGATGAACCCAACGATACCAAATTTGATCCATTCCGAGCACAAATGGATCAAAATAGAGGACTCGAAACACATTTAGAAGGTTTAAACCATAAATTGGATGACCAAATGATATCCAAATGTGATTTGCTTAAGTTCATGATTTTAATAAATTTAAAATCCCACTATAATAAGTATTTGTATGTTTTTTTTTTTTGGATTTTTATTGATATATATTTAATGAATTTAGTTGGCTTAATGATTTTGAAGTAACTCAAGCTTAATTTTATGATCCCAAATTGAAAAAAAAGGGTTGTTTTAAATAAATCGTAACTAAATCTAATTACTTTCAACGGTTTAGAAAAATTTTAGAAGCATAAAATCAATATATAAATTTTACTCTTATTCAAATTTTATTTTTTTATTATGGAATTTACTTTTAATTCTACCTTAATCTCATTCTTATTTTAGACATATCCTGTTTATATTTTAGTAATAAGCAACCCTCCCAATCTTATCATAATATGAATTATACTCTAAGAATTTTCATCCTCTCATGAAATAGTAAACTTTATTTGTTTCATAATTTTGTTAACTCTTGCTGCGGGCTAGAATATAAGCAGTGATAAAGTTAGAAAATTTTTCGTCTTAGCCTTGTACGGATATCCAGCGCATAAACAGAATAAAAAAAGAACACCAAAATTTGTATGTGGAAACCATGGAAAAGAGAAAATCCACGGGGCAGCACCAAGTAGAAAGGATTTCACTAGTGTTTGCTTAGATTACAAGTGGCTGACTCGTCCCTAAAATCGAGGACAATCAGATTACAATAATCAGCTCTTGGGTTGAAGTTCAGTTACAAATAGAGATCGGAAATCTGACGACGTTCCGGTGGTTGGTCAACTGTCAGACAGAACTCCGGCGCTAGTTGGCAGTCGGGCAGAATTCCAGAGTCATTTGACAGTTGGGTGGAAGTTCAACGGTGGTCGAGGAGGAGTCTTTTAATTTTCTTCCTTCTCTTCTTGCTTCTTTGCTTAATTCTGATGTTGGTCAGCTGCCGGATGAAAGTCCAGGTGTAGTCGAGGAGTTTTCCTTTCTTCTCCTTTTTTTCCTTCTCTTCTTTTCTCTTCTTGCTTGGGGGGTCCTCTCTCATGAAAAATGAGTGATCTATTTATAGTTTGTAGAGTGGCATGACCAGTAAATAAGAGGAAGGTCAAAGGTAAATTGGGAGTGGTTTGAATGGACGCTGATGTTGAATCCTTTGATCATAGATCATTTATTGAGTATTTCAATGCTTTAATGATCTCAGAATTCTACGATCTTAAGTTTGTTGGATTCGTTTCGTCGAGCCGCTCAATTCGACTATAAGCATGTCACATTTGAAAACCGTTTGGTAATCCAAATTATAGTTTGAACATTCCAAAAGTGCTTCGGGTCTTTGATTTGGACTTATTTAGGCTCGGATTGAGTTGAATTTAGTGTTGTTGGGTTTGTATTTTCGAGACGTTCTGTTATTTTGAAAGTTTGCTGAAATAGGAGTTCAGATGTTCTCCAATTTAATTTTTGAAGTTTCCAACATTATTTTTGCCTCAAGATTCATGCCTGATCAATATAATTTTTTGATGATATATCAACTATGTTGAACATAATAGTTTAAAATAATATTTGATTGTTGAAACACACGTATCAATATGTTTTGATAGAGCCTAACAAAATAACAACTTATACTTAAACTCCCTCATAAGTTGTTAGCAACATTTTTTAACATTAAAAGTCTTCAATAACAATATAGGCCTTAATGATAAAAATTTAAATGTTTATATTAAAATTTTAGTTATGTGATAGTTGGATTGCTATTCTTATCGAGAGTTTGCTATTCTTATAACAATTAAATCAACTTTTTTATTTATTAATGTGTTCCATATACTTTATTTAAATAATAATAATATTATTTTTATAATTGCTTTATCATCAGTCATTAAATTATATATCTTATAATCATATTAAGAAAAAAAATGTTCAGTTAATTTTTTTATTGTCATTAATATTTAAGCCTTTGAATTTGTTTTAGATGGATGCAACATACATTATTTATATATTACACTCATCTAAAAGAATTAAATTCCATAATTATCAAATGTCTTATTTCTACATTTTTATTGCTATTTTACTAAAATCTTAAACACATTTGTTTTAGATTAGGAATATAATTATTGTTACAATTACTTGTAGTGATAAATTTATTTATCATATCTCTTTATAAAAAATTTTGAATTGAATAAATATTGTTGAAAATTTTATAATATTATTTAAATTTTTAAATATATATATATATTTCATTATTGTGAATTTAAGGAAAATAAAAAATATAAGTTGATTTCGTTAATCAGAAGGAATAGATTTTACAAGGCCATGTTTCTATTCTCACGCCAATTTGATCTAGCAGGTGCTCGACATATCCATCCCCGGTACCGGCGTTGTTCTCTTCACGGAATTGCAACACCGCCACCCCTACCCACGCCGACCACCAAATCCTGCTTCGCTTCTCTCCTCCGCTCCTACTCCTACCCCAAACACCTCAAGCAAATACACGCCTTAATCCTCACCACCGGCCTCTCCATCAAAAACAGCCTCCTCACCCAGATTCTCCAAATCCTCTCGCTCTCCGGCGAAATGTGTTACGCGCGCAACCTGTTTGACGAAATGCACAAACCACGCGTCTTTCTCTGGAACACCCTCATGAGAGGCTACTTCAAAAGTAAACTGTGCACCGAGGCGCTTGAGATCTACCACCAAATGCACAGGCTTGGTGTCCGCCCAGATGAGTTCACATTCCCATTCGTGCTCAAGTCCTGCACTGCACTGCTGGACAACTGGGTTGGAATGGAAGTCCATGCCATGGTTGTCAAGCATGGCCTCGACTTTAACAACATTGTGAGTACTGAACTAGTTGTCATGTATGTAAAGTTTGGCGATGCAGATTATGCGGACGATGTGTTTGAAAGCATGGGAAATGGTAGGGATTTGGTCTCTTGGAATGCCCTCATCGCTGCCTACTCTCAATACGGTCGCGCAGATAAGGCGATAGCTCACTTCCAGCGAATGGAATCCGCTGGTGTTGAGCCCGACACGATAACTCTGGCCTGCGTCCTCTCTTCATGTTCTTATCTGGGGTGTTTAGAACTGGGAAAGAAGCTTTATTTTAGAATCAAAGAAGGTTTTCTTCCATCTAACATCTTCGTGGAGAATGCTCTTCTTGACTTGTTTGCAAAATGTGGCAGCATGGACGTAGCCAGTGAGCTGTTTGATGAAATGCCCATAAGAAATGTGGTGTCTTGGAGCACTGTTATTGGAGGGTATGCTATCAATGGAGAGAGCCAAAGAGCACTATCTCTCTTCTTTCAGATGTGTGACGAAGGCGTGAGACCGAATGATGTGACCATGCTCAATGTCCTCTCAGCCTGCAGCCACGCAGGGCTAGTGAAACAGGGAAAGGAACTCTTTAGTAGCATAGCTAAACCTACAATTGAGCATTGTGCCGCCATGGTTGACCTTCTTGGCCGATCAGGTCATCTTGAAGAGGCCTATGGTTTCATCCAAAGCATGTCTATGGATTTGGATGCTGGAGTTTGGGGGGCTTTGCTTAATTCCTGCATAATTCAGCATAACACCGAGCTCGGTGAGCTTGCCGCTGATGAACTTCTAAAGCTGGCGCCTGAGACACCTTCATACCAGGTCCTCCTATCGAACATGTATGCAGCTTTAGGAAGGTGGAACGAGGTTGAGAAGATTAGAGAATGGATGAGATTGAGCGATTTCAGGAAGGTGATAGGTTACAGCTCTGTCGAATTAGATGGAGAAGTTCTTGTATTCCACGAGGGATCCCATGCTCAATCTGAAAAGCTCCATCAGCTTTTGTGTGAGCTTACTAGCACAGTGAGGGGCATTGGTTATAGACCAGTGATCATTTCTGCATTGCATGATTTGGAGGAAGAGGAGAAGGAAGCAGCATTGATGGCCCATAGTGAAAGGCTTGCTATTGCCTTCAGTCTTATGTATTCCAATAATATAGAGTGCCCTTTAAGAATTATGAAGAATCTAAGGATATGCAATGATTGCCATGAGTTCTGCAAATATGTATCCAAGGCAATGAAGAGAGAGATCATAATGAGAGATAAGAGCAGGTTTCATCATTTTAAAGATGGTCAATGTTCTTGCACGAATTTCTGGTGACTCTGATTTTGGCTTAATAGATTGTAAATATTAGATTAGAGATAGATAAGAATAGGAAAATTTACATAAATACCATTCAATCCTAATATATTTATATATCGATTACTTAAACCTTCTTATTTACCTGTATAAAACATAAATTTTTTTAACAATTCAATTACACTACTCCATTGCCCTCGTCACCATGCGACTATTCTCACGCCATAATCTGCCATTGAGCTCTCTAAGGTTTCGTTTGGGACGGCTTTCTTGCTACTTCATAAATTAGCTTTCTAGTACAAAAATTGTAAATCAACTTTCTAGTACAAAAATTATAATTTTTATACTAAAAAGCTGACTTAAGAAGCAGCAAAAAAGCCGTCCCAAACGAACCCTAACTCTATGAACCCTCCCCTCTAGGTTCTGCGCTCATGCTTCCTTTGTCGCTTCTAGTGCAGTCACCCCCGTTGTCAATGACTTCATAATCATCGAGCTTCATATGGAGGTCATAATCGCTGCCTTTGCTTCCTAGAAGATGATGCTCTCTCCTTCAACAAGTTTTCCTCTTCAACTCCAAAGGTAAGAACCCAACATCTTTGAAAGTCTTTTTTGTATCAATATTTGGTTTCTAAATGTTTATTAGTGGCTCTTATATGATTTCTTTTAGAATTTTTTTTTGAGAACTTGGAAATGTGAACAATGGATCTGGTAAGTTAATTGGATAAGAAAATTTGATTTGTTTGGTAAAGCAGAAGGTTTAGAGCAGTCGTAAAGTTGCTCGTGAAAGCTATTTCACTACTGGCTTGCTTACATTTGTTGTCTGGGCATTTGATGATAAATGTATACTTGAGAATTGTTTATAAAGCGTCAACTTGATATTTTTAATGCTGATGCTCAGCCAATTTATGTACTTGATGCGAATTCCAGAACTTAGTTCATATTTGCTTACTTTAGCATTGATCAACAACAGGTCTTGTACTATGAGACAAGCGTTCAAATTATTCATTAGCATCTATGGTAATAGTACAAGATATTTACCTGCTAAAGACCAAAGAATCCAGACAAGCGTTCAAAATGGAAGCATTTTTCACTCACAGTACATTCCTTGCTATTTATATGACTCAAATTGGCGAGAGCCATAGTAAGTTTTAGATCTTTGACTTTTAATTTCTCATATTGAAAATGAGTAATGAATTTTCATAATGACTCTTTGGGTCCTTGTCTGATCATCAACAGGGCTTACGAGCTCTTCAATAATTTTTGGGCACTAGTAAATTGAGTGATTAGTAGCATCTTAAACTCTGCAAATGGGATTAGCAATGCCTATGGAAGGCGCAAGAACCACCAAGAGGCAACTCTTTGAAAGTGATGAAGAATAAGCAGCATATCAATGTGCTATTAATATTTGAGGATGTTGAACTGAATTTATTCGCAGAAAATATCATAATTTTATTAATAAGAACAACATGGTATCACAAAAACATAGAGAAAGGATCTAAAAAAAGAAATGATAGGATTTCACTAAATGGCTAGAAGTATAAACTTAACTGTTGAAGACCTCATGTCCAAAAATCCCCCATGGACCTCCTATTTATAGATTAGCAGCAGGGCTTTTGGCTTTTAAGACAAAAAAATACATCAAAATACTTGAGGCGTGTCACTAGAAGTATAAAAATACACATGGACAATCTTTTAGTTGAACTCACTAGCTTAATCACTGAAGTTGCCGAGGTTTCTTACTTGTTGGGCAAAAGTTATTAATTTTCTGGGTGAACTTGCCAACATTTTTGCCTAAGTTATCTGTGGGAGGGCAGCTTTTGAATTTGGGTAAATAGGCCCAGTTAAGCCTAGGGTCAGGTTCGCTCTTGTTATTTCTCTCTAATCTTATGGCGAGTTCAATGTATTCCTGGCAAGTTCAACATGGTTTTGGCTTCATTTAGGACAACTTTTTTATTGCTTCTTAAAATAGCATTTTAGTTTAAAAATTTGAACTTTTTAACTAAAAAGCTATTTTAAGAAGCAAGAAGAAAGCCGTCCCAAACGAAGCCTTAGTCTTCTTATCCCGCCAGGCGCCAGGGTGCCTTGAGCCGGATCAACTTTGCTTGAGCCAAGCTCTCTCGATACATGTGGTTGTATATTTGACTTTTAATTTCTTTCTAGGTGTTTTCGGTAGCTTTTTATAAAGCATTTAATTCTCCTTTTGCTTGGCTTGCCCCTATGCCTGTGTTGGGTAAGCTAATTTCCACTGCACCGTTAGCTAAGTGCACTTGATTCTTCCTGGCAGAGTTGATGCTATGCCCTTTATAGGTCATTTTATATTTGCAATGATATCAACAAAATTAATATCATCTTATGGAGAAAATACATGAATAAAGCTCAATACCTAATGACATGATAAGTATTAGGGGTATAAGTGAGTCAAGACGACTCGTGAGCTGAGTTGAATGAGCTAATGAGTCAAATTTGAGCTAACCTTGGCTCAAATAGTTAACTCGTGACCCGGCTTGTTTAAAAAATATTAATATAAAATATACTTAAAATATATTAGAATTCAAAAGTTCATGTATAACGCTATTATTGGAAATATTTGAAAATCATATTTTGCATTCTTATATCATGTGATTCAAATGTTGATAGGATGCGTAAAATGTTTATATATATATATATATATATATATATAGAAATTGTTAAATTAAAACTCTAATTTTTTTTTTTTTTAAATCACCAATATAGATCCTAAATCCAAAGAAAAAAGATTGGGTGTAATTTTGAGCTCATTAATTTTTACCCATATTAAAAAAATTTAAAACAACAGAAAATAATATATCTAGATTATAGAAGTAAAAAGTTCATAATAAGATTTTAACGAGTGATCGATTGCCCTAAATTATACGGGACTTTGAAAAAAAAGAAGAAGAAGAAGATAAATGTTAGATATGGATTGCTTAATTCATGGAAGTCAATTTCTGATTTTCCTTGAGGTTTTATTTAGAATAACTTTTGTACTGCTTTTTAAAATAAATTTTGAGCGTAAAAATATCTTAATAAAATGGTGATAAAAAGCTAATCCAAACAAAACTAAATTAGTTGCATAGCTATTGTGTATTGGCAAGTAGCGTAGGTGAATAGCCATGATGAGTTGCGGTCAATTGCTTTGAAGAAATACCTGAATGCTTTAGTGACTAATCCTAATCAACCCTGAGGCTAAGTATACAGAGAATAAGATGCCAATATAAGCTTGAACTCGGTGGTGAATTCATTGTGATCTAAACAACTTGTTGCAGCCCTTTGCAACCTGGGATGAGAATGAGAATTTGCTTTGGAATGCTACTTGAATTGGGATTAGGTGATGGAGTTGAGTGGAGATAGAGAATGTCCGATCACAGGACGTCCGGACATCCAATTCAGATGCGCCATGTCACCCGAATACACTGGATCCCGATGTATTTTAGTGGCGCGTCTGAATTGGTGTCTGGACAAATCCGGACACCGGAAGTAATTTGCCCAACCAGTGATGCTTGACAAAGTAACAGTAGTTGAATTGGATTTGAGTATTATTTTTTTGCATTAGACGCCCATGTCATATATAAAAATTCAACAAATTGATCAATTTGATTTAGCTGACTTGTCTCGAACATGATTCAATCAACTAAGTAGATTTGCCTTGAATTTTATCCTAGTGACATTTCGCGGCGATTGGCCTAATAATTATTCATAAATTATTCCAATTCAAAAGTTCAAATCATAATTTATTCAAACTAATTAATTCAACCTACACATTGTCATAATTACCGACTATATATATTTTTTAATTTCATTCGAGAAGCCATTTTGCGCTGGCCATGTCATGAGCGCCACCTCATCGCCACGTCACAACCAGTCGCTAGCAAAGCTGGCGGCTATGATGGTTTTTTTTTTTTCTTTCTAACTAATCTATTTAAAAAGCTGATTAAGATGCTGCTTGATGGGCATATAAACAAATTTCATCTTATTTGCAATAATAACCAATAAAATGGCAACTACTTAAATATACACAATAGAGTTTGAATTATGTGACCGGCAGAAGAGAAATTATTACATGCGGACACCGTATGTAGAGGTACGGAGTCTAATAAAAATATGTTATGTTGACTAGTATATTACAAGGTATTATAATGTATTGATGTGTATTAGCTAGTACAAAGTAATACTTAGTTAATACACACCAATACATATTAATACGCAGCAATACATTATGTGTTGCTGCATATTGCAGTGTATTGGTGTGTATTAATTATGTATTACTATGTACTATCTAGTATCCAGCTAATACACACTAATAAACAGTAATATCTAATAATACACTAATTAATATTTTATATTTTTATTGGAGTTCGAACACAGCTCTAAATTGGATGTCCGTTACTCCTATTAGAGAGTGACATCCACTTCATAAAATATGTGGTGTAATAACATGAAACTATTAGGTCCAGTCACCGGACCTAAAAATAAGTTCGGACATCCATTTAAAACTTGCCACGTGGACTGCATTTTGACTGCGCTTTACCTACGCTTTTGACGCACTTGACTTAAAATTCCGCGAACACGTGTACATTCCACATGTCAATATTTTATTGATGTCGGGGACATATATCTTCGTCGACCTAATAATTTTCAGTAACAACAACACATTTTACATTTCTCAAGACGGCGCAATGGAAACCTTGTCGACCTCCACAACGAACTCCAATATCGCCCCCGGAAAAACCCTAACCCCATTCCCAAAATCCGCCCCTTCGTCTCCAAACCCAAGCTCCGGCGGCACCACCACTCTCCTCCTACCGCCGGCGCGCATCGACCGCAGCATATACTCGACCCCCTCACACATCCCCCTCGAGTATGGCCTCGACCCCATCACCAACGCTAACGGCCTCTTCCCATCCCCAAAAGTATCCACAAAGACGTCACCGCCATCGAAAACCTTACCCTTCAGATTAATGACGACGAGATCTCCAGATCTCGGAATCGCTCCACCGCCCACTCGGATGTCGTAATAACTGATGCCATTCGGAAGCGTGACCTCCTCTTCCTTGTCGACATCTTTCGTGTTGGATTGCTGCTGCGAGGCCTCGAAGCGGGTTTTGATCTGCTCGGAGACGACGCCGGCGCAGAGGAAGCCGGCCCAGGCGAGGCCGGCACCGAGGCCGAATCGGCGGGTGAGGGTAGAAGCGATCCAATCGGTCGAGTCGGCGGATTTGGGTTTAGGGTTGATGGGGTTGATGGGGTTTAGTGAGAGTGGAGTTTATCTATTTGGATAGTAAATGCTATTATATTGGTTTGAAATAAATTTAAAAATTCTAACGGATCTTATTTGATCACTAATCCATAAAAAAAAAGTGATTTAATACACTAGGGTTTCATATGGGACGGTTTTTTTAATATTTTTTAAAACATTATTTTAGTATAAAATTTTTAATTTAAAAAATTTTATGCTAAAAATTAATTTAAAAAATAGTAAAAAAGACGACTTAAATAAAGCCTAAATAAAATATTAAAAATAAAAAAAATCTTTGTTTTAGATGTTAGCATGATGAGAGAGATAGAATTAATTTGAAGAGAGAGAGAGAAGAATTTATACACCTTTACTTGGGCGGTTGATTGATACTCTTTAACGTATAAAAGAATAAATTGTAAAAGAGGTAATAATATCTCTTTTTTTTAGTAGAAGGAGAATGACTCTATAATTTTTTAAAAAGAAATAATATGCTTTTTTTTTTTAAAATAAGCAATTCGAGTAAGTTGATACAGTTGGGATAGTCTTTTTTTGCTTTCTAAAATAATTTTTAAGTACAAAAATTTTTAATTAAAGAAATTTTTGTACTAAAAAGCTATTTTAGAAATGAGCAAAAAAGCTATTTCAAAGAATCTTCATGCAATGTTTGTATTTAAAGCTTTCATATTTAAATTCAAAATCAAATGATTTCAGCAAAACTTGTGGTTAAATTGAGTGTCTTGACAAGACTAATCCAACAATATCAAAGGTGAATTGATTAATTTCTAAATGAGCCTAAATCAAGCACATAAAGAATTGTAAATACTTGTGAACATTAATTGGAGGGCCAAACAACATCGAAATCTTACATTATTATAGTCAAAATTAAGGGCTCGATGAGACAAATCCAACAAACCTAAGGCCACTCGATTCTAATGCCATTAAAGTAATTAAAGATTGAATAAATAGTATATGATTAAATGATTTGATATAAGTCGTTCAATGTAATACAATTTTGACTAAATATATCAAAAGTCCACTCTAAATGTACTTGTTGCGGACTAGAATATACACGGCGATAGAGTTTTAATTATTCGTCTTAGCGTTATACAGATATACAGCTCACACACAGAGAACACAAGATTTTTTACGTGGAAAACCCTTGAAAGGGGAAAAACCACGGGGCCTAGCCCAGTTGAAAAGATTTCACTAGAACTTGAGTTGGTTACAATGGGCTGATTCGTCTCTAAGAACGATCAGATTACAAGTAGCAATTGTACAATAGAAGTCCGAGTGTCGAATAATGGTCTAGCAGGACTTCAGGCCTTAGATGATGATAAGGCAGAAACTTCGGGCCTTAGATGAATGTATGACAGATGTGAGAATCTTCAATGGTGGCCTGGCAAAGATGAGAGCTTCAAGTGAAAGACTGGCAGAGCGTAGAGCGTCAGGTGGTGATCCGGCGGAGCGACGGCTTTAGGCGATGATCCGGTGGAGCACAGGGCGTCAGATGGTGGTTCGGCGGAGTGATGGCGTTAGGCGGTGGTCCGGTGGAGCACAGGGCGTCAGGTGGTGGTCCGGCGGAGTGACGGCGTTAGGCGGTGGTCCGGTGGAGCACAGGGCGTCAGGTGGTGGTTCGGCAGAGTGACGACGTTAGGCGGTGGTCCGGCGGAGCACAGGGCGTCAGGTGGTGGTCCGGCGGAGTGACGGCGATAGGCGGTGGTCCGGCGGTGATCCGGCGAAAACTCCGGCGGTGGTAAGAAGTAAGAACAATCTCTGATCTCTCTCTTTTTTCCTTAAGCTCCGGGGGTCCTCCTTCAAGAGAAGAGGGGGCACTATTTATAGATTTTGGGAATGACATAGCCAGTAAATTGTTCCTGTGTCATTAAGACCAAAATTGGTGCTTACATCATTGATGTTGTAATATACCTTCTTAAAAAAAGTGCAAAAGTGGGCCTTTACCGTCTCCAAATCTAGTCACTCAACAAGAACATTTAATACCTCTTTCAAGGGAAGACCAGAGCCTCACTGTATAAACAAGAACTGTTGATCACCTCCAAATTAGACTGCCTGATGAGGATGGTTAACACATCTTTTAAGAGAAGATTATAGCCTCATTGGAGAAACTAAAGGTCTTGATTGCCTCTAAATTTGACCGCCTAATGTGGTATATCAATATCTCTTTCAAAGGATCGTTAGTGGAGTATTCGTGGCAGTAGAGAAATATAAAGTTTAACATCTTAGCTTTCATACGAAGAACCGGCACACAATCAGATAAAAAAAGACGGTGCGTCATTTATAGGGACACCAAGTTTTTACGTGAAAATTCCCTTAAAATGGAGAAAAACCACATGGCCTAGCCTAATTTGAATGATTCCACTAGTATTTGTAATTGATTACAAATGAGGCCTTTCATTAGGGGAAGACCTTAGCTTGATGTACATCCTATTACATTGTGGGAATACAAATAATCAATATTGATGTGTTTGTTTGGTCAGAAGGACCGTAGTCGGTGGGCGACGGAGGTCGGAAGGACTGTAGTCGGTGGGCGACGTAAGTTAGAAGGACTGTAGTCGGTTGGTGAAGTAAGTCAGAAGAACCGTAGTGGACGGGCGACAGAGTCCGGAAGGACTATAGTCGGTGGGAGACGTAAGTCAGAAGGACCATAGTCGGTAGGCGATAGAGGTCATAAAGATCGTTGTCTGATGATGGAGGTTGGAAGAAAGGTTGCAGACTATAGTCGGCGGGCGACGGAAGTAATAAAGATCGTTGTCTAGCAACAGTGGTCGGAAGTATGATGTTAGGAAGAAGTTCAGCGCCAGATAGAAGTCCGATGAATGTCTAGCGACGGGCAGAAGTTCGACGACGGGTATAACTCCGACAGAAGTCCGATGGCAGGCAGAAGCCCGACGTTTAGCAGGAATCCGACGATGGGCGGAAGTCCAGTGTCGGATAGGAATCCGGCAACGAGTGCAAGTCTGGCATTTGGTAAAATTCTATCGATGAACAAAAGTCTGGCATCAGATAAAAGTGCAGTGAAAGTTCGGCGACTGGAAGAAGTCCAGCGACGGGAAGAAGTCCGGCATCGGGTAAAAATTTGGTGACAAGCGGAGGTTCGGCGTCGGATAGAAGTCCGATGTCAGTTGCCGGCCTGAAAGAACTCCAACATTAGGTAGAAGTTCAGCGTAAGGTAGAAATCAAACGACGAGCAGAGGTCCGACGTCGGGTAGAAGTACGACATTAGTCGGCGGCTGGGCAGAACTCCCACGTTAGGTGGAAGTCTGGCATTGGGTAGAAGTCTGATGTTAGTCGGTGGCCAAGCATAACTCTGGTGTTAAATGACATTCGGGCAGAACTCCGGCGTCGGTAGTGTCACGACCCGACCCGATCCGGGACGGATCCCGCTCACACCGGGCCGCGACAAAACCTTTTATCCAGGATCTGGCTTTGGAATTTGGTTACTGAACTGATTCTTCCAAATTAATCAACTCAACAGACACACAAACACAGAGCCACTATAAATCATCAAACACAGCGGAACAAAACATCTATATTTTCATTTTCCTCAAAACAATCATCTACAGATACAGTACATGGCTTTTGAACAGAAAGAAAGACAGAACAGAAAAGCCATGACTGTACAAAAATCAAAAGGTACAAACAATACCTATACGGATCAGACTCTGAATCTATTCCTGGACTTCCTTCCCCTTCCCAGAACCTGAAAACCACCAGAAAACAAGAGTGAGCTCAACAGCTCAGCAAAGCAACAATCCTCCAATCAAAACTCTCAGAATCCAAAACCAAACTCATCAGACAGAAATCCGAACAGAAATCGGAACAGATATCAAATCGGATATATCAGAACGAAACAGAACAAATCAGAATAGATACGGACAGATCACATCAGAATCAGATATTGTACACATCAGAATCAGAACGGATTAAATCAACAGAGTCAGAATCGTACAGAAATCAGAAATCAGAATTGATCGTAGCAGAATCACAATTTCTTACAGAACAGATACAGAAAACAGAACAGATACAGAAATCCGAATCATATCAAATCAGATATCAGATAATATTTAATTCATAGCTAAATGCCCTGACACTGACGGAATCTCTACGGATTCCGGCCCCTTATGCCTCCCTTCCCAGACACTGACTGAATCTCATAGGATCCAGGCCCCTTATGCCTCCCTTTGTGCTCACGGCACCAGAACAAATGTGCTTATAGCACCAGAACAGAATTCATCGGATCCGAAACAGAACAGATATCAGATTTCAGATTTCAGATTGAGCTCATTTCAGATTTCCCAGACACTAACTGAATCTCATAGGATTCAGACCCCTTATAGCTCCCTTTTTATAGCTTATACACATAGCATTTCAATTCAGAAGAAATCCGGGCAATTCAGAAATCAGACAAAAATCGGGCAGCACAACGGCAGTAGACAGAATTTACACAAAATTTCCTGCAAAGAAAATTTACCAAATTCGCACAGAATATAGATAATCACATTCCAGAACCTTTATTCTACTGCACAGAGAATTTACAATTTCACAGAAAAATGTAGTCTACGAAAAACTCCGCCGAATCAAAAATACCCGGACAAAAATCTTCGGAAAATAACCAAAATGTGCACACTCGGCACGTCAACAATATACAGAAAGTTACGCGGTAAAAACTGAACCGATCAAAAGATACGGACGAAAAACAGTAACGGAAACGAAATCCGGACAGAAAATACCGCCAAACTCGACGGTTCTGAAAATTGAGAAAGGCGGAATGTGCCTTACCTTGCGTACAGCAATATTCTGAACAGTCTCTTCGGACGAAAACGGCTCCGCGTCGTCCGAAAATCAACTTTTGCCAAAATGCCCTCGACTTTCTCTCTCCTCAGATATTTTAATTTTTAATTTTGATTTTTCTCTCTCTTCAAAACGACTGAAATCAGCTTTATAATACACAGATCGGCCCGGCCGATCGCCAGATCGTCCCAGGACGATCAGACCAAATTGGA